ACCATTAAATTGCAGGGGAAAATTTTGCAGGCTCAACAACATCCACAAACATCATCTCCAATTACACATTTTTACTCATGGTGTTTAATACCACAGTGCTTTTGTTGCATTTACAAAGCATGAGTATGACACCAAAATGGTTTAAGTACACGATCCAAATGGGCTTAGTGGGAATGATCCCATTTGAATCGCTGTGTTCTCAAATCTGTCTGGATCCTAGCATTTCTGAGCAATCAGTCAGCCACCGAATAGGCCAGTACTATTATGAATGTTCAACATCAATAGCATGTAAATAACACCCTCTGGAACATTTTGATGTCCATTATTTTAACTTTTTTCTTTGTATTCACACATTACACGCAGAACATTTTGAAATGCATGCTTATTGAAATGAAAAGGACTGGGCACACGATGACGTGAATTGCTAACCAGGGAAAGAAGAGTCACTTAAAGAAAAGTGTTAAAACACAGTCTAAATATGCCAAGCACACTCACTTAACTTGATCACAGTAAAATAAGCTTTCATCTCCCAAATACACGACACAGCATTTCACGATCTATTAATAATACTCCTTTGGTTTGCTTTCAGAGATCTACAACCACCAATATTTAATTCAGAACCTCAGTCTTTTTATATTCAGTTACACACGGGTAATATCAGGACTCATTATGATGACAGTAAGTATTAGTTTTATGCCATGCATTATCTAAATCCACGAAAGGGGGAAGGAGAATGCAGGAAGTGCCAGTTTGCCTGGGTAGGTTATTTTCATGGTATATCCCATCTCAATACATCTAAAGTACAAAAGAAAAAATATATCTTATCCATCTTAAAGCATTGAAAGCATTCATGTTCTATTGTATCCTGGCTCTGGGCCCACTAGGCACAGTGTTGTTCTTATTCCATATTATCATCCATTTAGACTTGTAGGATGAGTCCTCCCAGACAGAATTTCTATACACAGCAAAATGAGTGGTGCCAAGAGACTGGAGAGTAGCTAATGTTACCCCACTCTACAAAAAGGGGCAGAAAGACAAGCCCGGAAATTACAGGCCAGTCAGCCTAACTTCGGTAATAGGAAAGCTACTGGAGACCGTAATCAGGGACAAAATAAATCTCTACTTAGAGAAACACGAGGTAATTAGAGACAGCCCACATGGATTTGTTAAAGGCAAATCTTGCCTAACAAATCTAATAGAATTTTTTGAAGAGGTGACTGCGAGGGTTGATGAGGGAAATGCAGTGGACATTATTTACATGGATTTTAAAAAGGCTTTTGACACAGTACCGCATAAGAGGATAATAAAAAAACTGGAGGCCCACGGTATTAAGGGGACAGTAGCCGTTTGGATTAGGAACTGGCTGAGTGACAGAATGCAGTGAGTGGTGGTTAATGGGTGTTTCTCGCAAAGGAAGGAGGTGTGCAGCGGTATCCCCCAGGGATCGGTATTGGGACCACTGCTCTTTCTAATATATATTAATGATCTGGACTTGGGCATAGGGAGCACTATTTCCAAGTTTGCAGATGATACCAAGTTAGGTAGGGTAGTAAATAGTGAAGAAGATTGTGACGGACTGCAGCCAGACATACACAGAATGGTGGAATGGGCTGACATGTGGCAGATGGATTTCAATGTAGATAAGTGCAAGGTGATACACTTAGGTAGGAAAAATGATAGGAGGCAATATAGGCTTGGTAGCTCAATCTTAAGGGGGGTGAACGTACAAAGAGACCTGGGCATTCAAGTAAGCGATTCATTGAAGGTGGCAGAACAGGTAGATAGGCCAGTAAAAAGGGCATTTGGTGTACTGAGCTTCATTAGTACGGGCATAGAGTATAAGAGTAGGAAGGTTATGCTTAATCTGTACAAAACACTGGTTAGGCCTCAGCTGGAATACTGCGTCCAGTTCTGGGCACCTTACCTCAGGAAGGATATTAAGGCACTGGAAAGGGTGCAGAGGAGATTCACGAGAATGATACCAGGAATGGGGAAGCTTAGCTATGAGGGCAGGCTGGAAAAGTTAGGACTTTTCCCATTAGAGCAGAGAAGGTTACGCGGGGACCTGATAGAGGTCTTCAAGATCATGAAAGGTTTCGACAGGCTAGATAGGGAAAAGCTGTTTCCGCTCCATTACTCATGGTCACAGTCTTAAGATATCTACCAAAAGAAGTAGAGGGGAGGTTAGAAGAATTTTTTTCACTCAGCGAGTTGTTAGAATTTGGAATGATCTGCCCGAAAGGGCAGTGAAGTCTGATTCGATAACAGCTTTTAAGAGAGAACTAGATAGGTATCTGGAGAAGACAGGTTTGCAGGGTTGTGGGGAGAAAGCTGGTGAGTGGGGTTAATAAAAGTCAGTTGCTCTGTCAAAGAGCCGGCACAGACTCGATGGGCTGAATGGCATTCCATGATTCTATGATTATTACTCATGTAAGAAGAGTTCACATTCGATCTTTATTACAAGTCAGTTTAATCACTGGAAACATCTCCGCTGTGAAACAAAAGGGGTCTGAAGTCTGAAACTCACTTTTACTTCGAATAAACTTAATCATACCTTGCAACGTCCAGATGCTAAAAACTATCACGTATTATCAAAGATGCATCAAAAAATTCTAATTCTATGAAATGTTACATTTTCGAACTTCGAATTGGCGTTAGTGTAAAACAATTTGCTATAAATATGGAAGACAGGGAGGACAAAAGAAACGAAAGGGGTTAAGCCCTACCTGTTGCTTGTTCAACTGATTAAATAAAGTCCCAAGCAACACAGCTCTTCACTCACCTTAAAATCGGTGTCCGATTTGGTACAAAGGCATTAAGTTGTCAGAGTTGTATTATTTTATTAGAAGGTACTAAAATTCTCCCAAAGAACAGCAATGCACATTTCATTTTAACAGCAATTTAAGCTTTAGATCAAATTACATAAATACTCTGTGTATAAATTCTTGGACATAGGATGACCGAGCTGCAATGTAGATCAGCTTTCTTATACAATGTCTTATAGGACAAAAGAAAATCTGAAATGGTTAATAGATGTTTTCTGAACCGTTTAATTACAACACAGCCTTAAATATTCTTCATATACATAGATATATAAATATATATAAAAGACATTCAAGGAGCTGCTTAGAATTTTTTTAGAGAATGGTTATAGATGGTCGAGTTGTTTATTCCATTGTTGATGTACAGATCACAAGCCTCAGCATTTTCCCACAGTTTCTATCTCCATTACTCAAGGTTACCGAGCGGAGCTTGATCAGTTTTGAAATTATTTTACCATTCCTCACAGTCTGCCTTTTACTTAGCACACTTGTGGATTTGTAACTGCAGCATTTGATTTTTTATTGCAAAAGTGGCACCCCTTGAGTGAAACTATTCTTCTGTGAAGGGGGAGAAGTGGGTGGGGAGAAATGAGGGAAGCAAGGTCCTCTGTAGTGTTCAACCTGTCTCTGTAAAATGACAAAGGGAAAGTGCAATGAACAACTTTTTTTGAGGGACTCTGTAATCTAATAACTGAGCCAGACTGGGCTAGAACATTTTAGAACACCTTTAATGACTGACCAAACTGCCTGACTCATTAATGGATATTGAAAGGGTTCACAAGGTTTCTGAGGGTCTTCTCACTTGGTTCTCCATGACCCTGCATGTGAACATTATAATGAGAAGGCTGATCCTAGGTGAATGAGCATTGGGAAGCCTGCCAACTTTCGTACTAATTTGCTACCTGTTTTAGCTGGTTAAATTCCAAAACACACTCTGGAGCCCTAAAACCTAGGCTTAGACTTGTAGGATGAGTCCTTCCAGACAGAGAGTGTGCACTCTAGAATTAGCAAACAAAAGTTGTCCTTTATGGGCTTTCAGTGGCTGGAACTGAAGACCTTTGTGTTTGTACCACATCAGGGTTATTCCAAGTCAAGACATCCGATTGATTCAAAAAAACAAGCAAATAAAATGACAGTATCATGACAAGCGCAGCAGATTACAAAAACATTTTTCATTTGCAATGTAGTTTTTTTTTAAAGAAGTGTAATACCGGGTGTTCTTCAAATTAATTGAGGGAAATAAGAAGTTTAGAATAATTTACAAATTCACCGATATACATTCCTTTGAACTGCATATTTCATCAATCAAAGTAGGGTGCAAATAACAGAGGCCTACACATAAGACGGATAAATGCCTTGGCTGTGTTCTCACTGGCAAATTCAATTTTACAGTGTACTTGAACATGTGATATGCTAACGTGATACAAACAGAGCAGCATTCTAATCACAAAAGGTTGTTTACGTGCTGCTGATCATCACATTGTCACAATTTTCTCAACACAAATGCTTGCTCTGGGCCAGTCCTGAAAGGACCAACTCTCTTTGGAAAAAATAAATTGGAAGATACATCACAAGTGACCAGGTTACCAGAATTCTTACTCACCTGCGAAAGACCCAGAACCAGTGAGCACTGCAGTAACAGGTGAATGATGAGGAGTCTTACACATGGCTGGAAACACACCTGGAACTCGGTCACACACGAGATGTTCTACTGATTCCACAATCATTGGAATCTCAGCTCAATTTTTTTAATCCAGTCTGATATATAGTACATCGTTCCTCTTTCGCTCTCTCTTTCCCTCCCCCCACTGTGAGAATATGGTGACCTTAAGCAAGGACACATATCATACATCACAGTTTCCAATAAAAATCTCTCTATACACAGGTCAGTCTAAAACGGCTCCCCTGCATGCATTTTACATTGAAACAATTGGAACAAATTACTCATTTATTAAGCGCACCAGAAAAGAAGATCAAGAGATGTTAAGATGTTGAGATGTTAAGATATACTACAGTGATTGTACTATGAAATGTACTTGATCTACAGGAAAATTAAGTGCATGCTGTGCACACAACATTCTGTTAATACAGCATGGTTAAAGTCTACATGTATTTCAATAGTTGTTTGGGGTGATGTTGCTCAATGATAGCAACTTACCTTAGCAGAACAAATCTTACCTGAGCAAATTGAAACTAAGATCTAGTCGCTTGGCGAAATCTCCATATTTTGTTCCCAGAAATTCTGGAATAGCTTCACAGTCCTGACCAATGTAAGAAACCTGCAGAAACATTAAAAAACACTGCAGTTAAATTTCAAAGAAAAAAAGGAATTTGATTCAATATTCTTCTGCAAATACGGATTTTTGTGCACATTTCATTCCTCCATAAGACTTCTGACATTTCAAACAATGCAGTTCAATCAATCATGAAAAATCTACACGTGTTATTCTAATGCAGATTAAAAGAAAATACCCGGCTGCTGGAAGTCTAATGAGAGTAAATGTTGGAGATTAGCATTATGCGAATCAGCATTTTAAAGAGAAAGATGGAGAGCTGCACTCAAATTTTTGCCTAGCTTTCTCCTTTGGATGTTGATTGACCTGCTGTACATTTTCAATAGATTCTGGACTGCACAGTGTTCAGCAAGATTTGAATTGAGAAGCAGTGAGAATTCCCCAGAAACATTCATGAGCTCTTCTGATGGCTCACCTTGGGACGTCCTCCCGACGTGAAAGGCGCTACAGTATATAAATGCAATTTGCTGTTGGACACCTGTTTTTGCCTAGTGTGAAACCAAATCACACAGTCTGGTACCTGATTTAGGCCCCAGTCTTGTCTGGGTTATCCAACTTGCTGGGCAGCAGTAGGGAAGCTACATGAACACATGCAGCATTAACTACTAAGGCTGAGTACATGGTCAATTAGACAGTGATTGGAGGACATCAATTTAAAATAGCTACCAAATAAGCAAACAGGGAGTTTAGGAGAAATGTCTTCACTGACGGAGTGGTTAGGATATAGAATGCCCTGCCGGGAGCTGTGGTTGAAGCAGAATACCTATGAGTTTTCAAAAGGGAACAAAATATATATTTAAAAAGGAGTAAATTACATAGGTTTGGGGAAAGTGCAGATAATTGGGACTGAACAGATTGTTCTTAAAAAGAGCCAGAACAGACCTGATGGCCTTCTTCTGTGAGGTAAATTTCTATAGTTCCATGCTGCATGACCACCACAGACGTGACATGTGATTCTCTTCTCAACACAAATTAATAATTGTACAATTATTTGAAACTGATGTGTGTTTACCATACAGACAATGTTATCGGCACATGAGGCAACAAACATCAGTTAAAACATTAAAGGACTTTCAAGTTGCTTGGCATAACTTATTACCTGTGTAATGTTCAATAGAATAATTGCTTAAGAGCAGAGTTGCAAAATGTAGGACTGTGTGTGAAATGTCATGGAAAACAATAGTCTACCACAAAAAATTCAATAAATGAGTAACCAAAAAATTCAGGATAAGTGAAAAATTACAAATTTCTAAGCAATCTATTTCTGCATTTAAACTTCACACATTTAAACACTTTTGAACTTATAAGCATTCATTTGAAGCCAACAGATGCATTTTTTGGGAGAAGAGAGAAATATAGAATTAATTTATTTATTCAGACAGATGTACAAAATTTAATAATGTGAAATTAAAGCATTTCTAATATTTCACACACGTTGCAGTAGTATTTTAGTATTCAACACAAGAACAGGGTGTGAAAATCATCATTATGCAGATACTGTTTGAATAAAACTTTGAAAATAGATAAGTACTAAAAGAGTTAACATCCCATGCACAACTGTGTTTTGTGATGACAAACAAATGCATTGATTCATGAAGAAAGTAATGAACAGAACTGCAAACACTTCAGGGGAGCTACAGAAATATTCAGCTCTGTACGCCCATTCAAGAAAGAACTGCTATGTTCTCCACAATCTGGGCTGAGTACATGATTGTTTCTAGGGCAAGGTCCTACTTCACCCAACCAGCAATTCTTTGTTTAAGCACACTGTCATAACCAGTTGGACCAAAAATAGTCTCATACCCTTAATCTTTCACTGAACAAGGTGTCAACAACACCCGCATAAACACTGCAGTAATTGCTAGTTGTATCCATGCTGTTGTTCATGGGTTTTAATTTCCAGAATTCCACTGAGATCAAAATCAAATTGATCTGCCTAATGTTTATAATTAAAGACTCCGCCTCTGCAACATAATGAACATTTAAGTTGCTCCCAACTACTGCACTCACATACAGGTTGTGGCAATTGAGGTTTAATCACATGTTGCCTTTTCAAGCTACAGAAGGAAGGCAGTGTTGAATAACATGCTGCAGTTCAGCTCCACAGACTCCAGCCTAGGAAGAGCCGAAACCAACCTGCCTCTGCACCGTGACAATTGTCTGCTCTACACGGCTATGGAAGAATGATTAAACCAAAGTCATATAACTAGCAAAAAAGCTGAAAGACAAATGTCAATTCATGTCAGCTTATTGATGTTACCAACGGTAAGAGAAAAGAAAAAAAAGTTCATTAGACAGCCTGCCATTGTTCACTATACAGCCTTTCACACATGAATAATGGCAACTTGCACAAGTTATCAGAGAACAGAATAATGCCCACTCGCCAGCTTCAGATGAGGACAAGTGATGGATAGAACATTTGAGGAAAGGAAATCATTTCATTATTTAGAATTGTCACGTAGCCTAAAAACGTGCAGATCCAAATTAATCTAAAATAAAAACTGCTTCAATTAAAAAACAAACATTTCACAAATATTTCACACATTTGCCCATCAATACACAGTTACTACACTTTACAGTATATGTGGTGAAGCCCTCTGGGTCGGTCTCCTGACATGAAAGGCACTATATTAAATGCAAGTTTCCATAACATACACTTGCCAAACAGATTTGAGATGGACCATAAAGGCAAGTTCTCACTGTCAGCAAATACATACAGGTGATTAATGCATCTTCAAGCCAAATGGTAGTGCATTTATGAAAGTTAGTAAAATTACATCTATTGTACATAACAATAATAATAATAATATATTTGAGTTTCCTAAGTAGCAACTTTTGCAGGTGGTTGATATTTTGTTCACCAGGATAATAATAATAATAATAATAATAATAATCCTTGCATTTGATATAGCCCCATAGCATGTCATTTATATATTTATATTTTAGTAAAATATACAATAACATTGTTTTATGTCCTTAAGAGGACACTCCAAAATATGTTGCTTCTGTATTTATACAATCCAGACTACATTTGCTTAGTTTTTGTGAGGTATTTAATTCCTTAACCTTTTTTGCCTCAAATGGATGTGCACTGCCCCCCACCCCACCAAGAACCTTTCTCTCTTCAGGGTAAAGCACTGAGTGCTGAACTTGCTGTGCCATCTATATCTGACATCCTGACATGTGTAATGAACAAAAGGTCACTGGACGTTGTTCATCCCAAGTACAAGTTTAAATTGAATAAATTGGTACAGAGCTATTAAAGTTGGATTTAAACACTGTACAAGATGATGTGGTTTACTTTCACTTTTTGTAAATTTCCAAAAGTCAACAAACAAAAATACCCAAACAAATGTGTATCCAAAACCCAAACACAGAGATCAATCAGTATCAAGGCTATTCCCAAATTAAACAAACATTCAGCTTCAGATAAAGCTTCTTCACTCTCTCTCTCCCCTTGCCCCCTCCAAAAGAAAGCAGATTTCCCACAGTCAGGTCAAGTGATGGTGACTAAAACTGGGTACCAAATTCCTCTCTGGAGCATACGGGATGCAATATTTATCCTAACAGCAAGTACTTTCTCAATTTGTCACTGAAATGGAACACCTCTGCTCCAGCAGTTCAACCCATTTGAAGCAGCTCAAACTTCCACTAATATTTCTCTCAGTCTGAAAGTTTAAACCTTACGTTCTACTCCAAGCTGTTTCTTGCCACACAACAATCAATCTTTTTTAAAACTGGTTTATCAAGGACTGAAATAGCCAAATTCAATTCAAGTCAAAATCTATCCCTGAGTGAAATGGGTAGATGTCTCCACATAAGCATGCTATCTTCAATCATTCCTACTGGATAGTGAGTTTGAACTGTGTAACAGAATTCAAAAGATCACAAGGTTAATTTGGATGCAGAAGGCCCTTCAGCCCGTCTGATCCCATCATTCTAGACCACCCTACTGGCCTCCTATCACAGTATCAAGCTACTTATTTAAATGAGTCAAATCACGGCTCAACTTCACACCCAACCATTTCATTCCATCCAAACAGCCATTGCACGGAAACTATTCAATTGATTCGTCTCCAACCATGCCTTCACTCTTTCCTTGGTTCGGGGATGAACTGGACCACTGTTAAGTGCTCCAAGAGAGTATTCCGTAGGAAGGTAATTATATACTTGCAATTTGTTTCTGTTGTGGGATATAATACATAATACAAAGATACACAGATCCGCCAGGATGAAGGAGAAATGGGGATATTATATAAAAACTAGACCTAATGCATGCTGCTGTTGACTCTTAAAGGAAAGGGCAAAAAAGGAAGAGTCACAGCAGGCAACCTTGCTACATTCTCCTGGGAAAGTGAGGGAGGTATACCTGCCAGGGGCATGAACTCAAAACAGCCAGCCAAAAGCCAATTTATGAACAGATTTGCAAAGCCAAGTCTTGTGAGAGCACAGCATAAATTGGGTTCCTGCCTTTTATTTTTCACGTTTCAGTGCCTAACTTTTAATCATTTTTGTTCAATATGAAGGTTTAATTAAGGCTTTATTATGTCATTAAAGCAAGTTAAAAATGAAGCAAAAATGAGCGACAAAAACGCTGTGCATCACAGCATTAAAATGAACTTTATCTTAAGGGAAAAGAACTGTAAAAGCAGCAAAACCAGTACATCATCCCTCCTCGTTGATACGAACGGCAAAGCCCTGTTGCAGAATGTCACAGTGTCCTTTCATTTTTCATAAATTGAATTTGTTGTAATAAATCACAGGGTACACGTTTAGTCTGTCCTTGGACTTTCTTACTCTGTCTCTTTCCAACCAGTAAAGATTTTGATCTTGGAAAATGTCCTTTCAATATTGGCACTTGACACTGGAGAGGCCAAGATGCACAGAAACCATTCTGACATGTCAGGCCAACTGCTTATACCTCCCCTGCCAGAACTGGTGAACTAGAAGACTCTGATCAGAAAGGTACTCAGAGAGCTGGGAATGTATCACAACATAAGCATTATAATGATGAAAATAAATTTGTACTGTTCAAACTTTGAAGAGAATTCCCACTCTCTGCATGTAACCATGACCTCTGCCAAGTTAGTGACACTTCACTTTAGAAGGAATTTCTTGTGACATTGATGGATTCCATTTACTATACATAGTGTCCAAAAAGTTATAAAACTGGCATCTCTAGTATAATGCTCACTATAGGTCAAAGCAGGTCGACAATGTAGAGGAAGTGACATAAGTGGCGGATGAAAATATTCTTGGGGAGTGGGGTGGCTGAGTAAAAGTCGGTTTGGTCCCCTTTAAGATAGATGACCTGTTGGTCACCAATGAGTTGTGAGTGGGGCAAGAGAAGGACTGCGGCTGCTGTAGGTTGGGGCTGCTCAGTGGACTGGCTGTGGTATTCCTCTCTCAGGTCCCCTTAAAGAATAGGCTGCAGATAGATTTGGGGAGGGGTGCCTTTGCTCCTTCGGGCCCTTGCCACCCCCACCTATGGGTAGAGACTAAACTTCATTCACTCTTCATCCAGTTTACTTAACCAACCACCACCACTTCATCTCAGCAAATGGTTTCTCCTCCCACCCTGGCCCAGTCACCTGGGGGTACCCCAGTGCTCCATCTATGGCTCTCTTCTTTTCATCATCTATATGTTGCCTCTTGGCAACGTCTTGACTCCTGTGGATCTGAACTCCTCAACCTCCCTGGGCTCTCCCTCAGACTCACCGAACCAGTGCACAATCTAGGTGTCCTTCCTCCCCCATACCTGGTCCCTGACCAGGACCGCCTTCCTCCATCTCTTCCACATTGCCTGTTTAAATTTGCCACCTCTTTCAGAACTCTGCTGCCCGCATACTGACCCAGACCAAACTCCGTACCCCCATCTCACCAGTTCTGGCCCAGGCTCCACTGGCTCCTGATCACCGAATGAATCGACTTCAAGATCCACACACTCATGTTCAAATCTATTCACTCCCTGGCACCTCCCCTACCTCTCCAACTGCCTCACTCCCCAAACCACTACCCGGCACCTCCGCTCGACTGGCACCGGCCTCCTTTTTGTCTCTCGCACCCTCCAATTGACCACTGAAGGTCGCGCTTTCATCCATTACGCCCCGAAAATGTGGAACACTCTCCCTCAATCCCTCCGCTTTGCCCCCTCGCTCAGCTTTTTCAAATCCCACCTGAAAACCTTCCTTTTTGACTGTGTCACCTCCCCGGCCCAGCTCGGAGTCAGGCTCCACCACTGTTAAGTGCCCTGAGACACTACCCTGCGTGGAGGACGTTATATAAGTGCAAGTTGTTGTTGTACTCTCAAATGACCATATGTCACCAGTGTCGATAATAATGAAAGCCTGATTCTTCCAGATTTCCACCACAGTTACATCCTGAAAACTTGCAGATTGCAGAAACTGAGTTTTTCTTCACATTGCTTTTAATACGGTCAAAGAGGGTTTCATATCTCTTTTCAGTGGTTTCTTCACTCAACTAAATTCTGTGAAGAGCATCATATAACATCAATCATTCCATTAACTGAATACCATCAGCTTTGTGTCAACAGTAGGGTTGACTAATGGATTCATACCTAGTCAACAGCAATCTGTACTGTATTTATATTTCAGTGCTCATACTTTCTGTAAATGAATGATCAACTCATGTATATTTGTGATTTGAGATGCTTAAAGGAGCTGCTTTAAGAATAGCATCAAGTAAATGGCACAACCTTAGGTAGGCTTTGTAAAATAGGTATGCAATTTCGAATCATATCTAATCCATCAGAGACAGATTAAAATATCACAGCAGGTCATACTTTGTCCTAAAATCTCACCCAGTTCCAGAGTCCAAAATAGCAAACCTCTTTCTTCTCAAACTGAACACCTGACACCTAAAGTACTTTTGGAAGGGCAAAATCAAAAAGTAAACAAGGAATTTCAAAAACAAATTCAAAACTTTTATGCAAGGAATATTAATGGACATTTTAGATACTGGGAATACAGTGCATTCTTTAATGGTGATCAAAAACAAACCCACAGTTCAAATATATAGTAAAATACTTTGTTCTTGTCAGTGTTACCTTGAGAGAAAATCTTGACCGATCTTGTTAATAATGATACAATTTTTTGAAGTTTTAGTGGTAAAACAGGCTTTAAAATTGCCTTTGGATTTTAAATCATTGTTTAAGTTTTTTTTCTGCTGAAAATTTTCTGGACAAATAAACGAAAACACAGTCTTAAGAAGGTGATTTTAAATCATAAATAAACTAAATAAACTAAATAAATAACAAATTTCAATAAAAATAAATTATATTTGTATCCTGCCTTTCACGTCGAGAGGCCGTCCCAAGGTTCTGGACAGTCAGGGATTTGGACCCGAGCTCAGGGTTGGAGACGGGAAGAGTTGGGGTAGGAGGGTGACCGAAGGCATGGACGAAGAGGAGAGTCTTGAGACGTGCCTTGAAGGAGAAGATGGATGGAGCAAAGCGAAGGAACTGTGGGATGGCATTCCATTGGGTGATAATAACTGTGCATTCATTCAAATCATAAATAAATGAAAACACAATCTGAAGATGATTTCAAATCATCAGGGACTGAATGCTAATTGCACAAAACAGAGACAGACCAAAATAAAATCTACCTTGCTGGTCATATGTAGAAAAGAAACATTGATGACCTTCAGTAAAGTACAGGAAGTGTCACTTCTTTTACAGTGTTTCTTACTTATTACTGTGCCAGTCAAATGGGGATCAGTCCACTTATATTCAATAGCAACAAAAAAATGAGGATAAACATTAAAACATTTATTAAAGTTTTTAATATATAACAGATTTGCGTTTAAGAACTACCTCTTACAGTCAGAAGTTTGTTTCAGTTACAAATCCACATGTGTTGATGTAGTATAAATGTGCAACATTTGTTGCCAGTGTCTTCTTTCCCTCAACTTCAACCTCCACCCATTCAGCCTTGATTTCGCAACACCAAACCCAACAACAACAAACTACATTTGTATAGCGCCTTTCACGTCCCGAGGACATCCCAAGGTGCTGGATATGCAAGATTTAAGAAGGTGACAATAATTGTGCTTTCATTTACAACATACTTTCAATTTAGCGTCAATGCTTCGGCCTCTGCATTCAACAGCAATCTTGGAATGAAGTGCAAAACTGATTACAAGTTACATTTGAGTAGGGTGTTCGTAATGCAACCGTCCACAGTACTCCACTATTACAACTAATGCCAAGTACCGTCCTACAGTATCAAATGGTCATCAAACAGCAACTGCTCACAAATCAGGGAATCTGGCTTGAAATGAGCCAAAGGCTCAAGACCGTACGTCTGAAGCACTTTGGGTTGATGGCTACCACTCCGCTTGTGTCGAAATCGCTTACACTGGTGGGCTCAGAGATCCCTCCTCCCTTGTTTACTGGTGGGAAGAAATTTCCACCTGGATCTAGAGGTGCTCAAATTACGTGGCACTTTAGAAGGTGCAAAAGTTGACAAGTTGTTGAATTCAGTCGTGACTTTGAAATGGGTTTTCTGTAGTTATGAAAAGAACTTGAGCAAAACCAACTTCAAAGTTAAGGCCAATTTAAGCATTTGCCAAATTGTGCACACTCTAAAATGCTCCATAAAATAGGTTATATTGAGACTCAGGTAGACATTTTGCCTGCTGGTGAGGTTATCAGCGCTCACAGTTTAAAGAAATAATAATAATCCTTACATTTGATATAGGACCTTATTGAGTCGTTGAGACATCTCCAAGCGATCACAGAATATACTGTAAAGTGAATTGACTGTATATTTTGTGGGTGAAACGCGGCAGCCAATTGCGCACAGCAGCGTCCCACAAACAGTCGTGGATTGTAGGACCAAATGTTCAATAGAAAGACAGAAACAAATAAGTTGACGTGATCATTATGTTTTTAAAAGTTACATTGAAACAGAAATGTCTCAATTTTACACAAAGGACGAATATCATAAATAGATGAATAGCAAGTGGAATATTGCTGAAGCAACTTTCGTCATGTATATTGGTACAGGACATCAGCCGAAATGTGGAGGAAGGAAACAAGTCATTTCCAAGATGTACCCAACTGCAAAAGCAAACGTTCAACGATGTGAGTGCACTTTTAAATTTGCTGTCAACAAAGCAAAATAACCGAAAGCTCGATTGCAATTTAAAAGTGAAGTCAACAAAATGCGAGGCTTTCCTGACAGTCCATCTGCGTTAAGAAATTCAGCATCTTTCGCAGGTCAACGTGTGGGTTGGTTTTTTTTTCTGCGCGCAACTCATCAGCTGACAACCCCGGAAAAGGAATTTTTTTTTACAAAAAAACTCTTCTCGATCAGGAAAACACAGACACACACACACACACACACACGCAGATACAATGATATTGTGCACCTAAAGTGTGAGATACTAACGTGAAACCTCTCGAGTCATCTCTGTAACGATGCAAATAAAGGCAGGTGTTTAAAATACTTCACACTTACTTGAGTTCCATTAACAACGATCCCTAAATCGTTGCTCTCCATCACTGACGTGTTAATTTTTTTTAGAAAAAGGCTGATAAAATAGCGTTGTCTTATTTTTGGGGTGGTGGGGGGGGGGGTAGGGCTTGTTTCTGGTTTTCCCAGCTTAAGAGAGGTGTTGAAAAAAAAATCGCAGTGTATATAGGTTTCTTTTTTTTTGCACAGGTCGTCTGTTTAAGGAAACACCGTTATAACGGCGGTGCCCGATCTGCACATGTAAATAGACGAGAAGGGGGACTTTGCGAAGGCTTCCGCACTCCCCGTCAGCTGATCGGGAGCGGAAGTCTGGAGCTGACTCGAAGAAAAGGCGGAGTTATCAGAGGAATTGGGTCCAGAAACTGCTCAATTGTACAGAATGCAAACCCCTGGCCAAAGCTTGTGTGTGTGTGTGTGTGTGTGTGTTTATGTGGGGTGGGGTGGGGTGGGGGCAGGTACTGATTTCATTAATTCATCTCTTTTCTCGCCAGTGCCTTGTAATAACTTTATAAACCCTCATGGTCCTAAGGAAGTTACTTCCTCGATGTGAGAAAGCTACACACACACACTCTCTCTCTCTCTCTCTCACTCACAGTCAGCCTGAAACCTCTGGTGGTGCCTGTGTCTGACTTGTGTGCGACTGAGGACATCCCACTCCTTGTCAGAAAGGCAGGCTGTTCAGATATATATATATATATATATATATATATACCCTCTTTCGGGGGTGTTTATTTGACCGAAATCCTACTCCCGTGTCTCTCTCACCGCTGGAGTAAGAAAGTGTTGCGTTGGCTGTAGACTGTACCATCAAATCATGGTCTCGCACCCCCTCCCCACCTCCCCCTGGGGGAAAAAAGGCAAACTTCCCCTTTCCCACCCCGTCGGTGGAGCGCATGCGGAAGTCTGGCACTGCAGAACACTGACCCAATCTCAGCTTCTACTAACTCCTAATGTAAGCCTCTATTACACTGATCTTTAACATAAGTAAGTTAGATGCATGGACTGTGTATGTGCTTCTTTTCATTGGTCACAAAAGAAAAGTGGTAATTAAAATTTAGGAATGAATACGAAATGCCTCCTGTGCCGGGCTGTGCGGAGACACTCGGGCAGCCAAGGGCAGGGATGTCTTTGTAACAGGAGGAATGTGTGTGTGCACCATATGTGCACTTCAGAATAGACTCGACCTTAAATTTGTTTTTAGCCGAGTAGTAACATTTCAGGTATGAATTTTTAGTATTTGTCCGCGCGCCTGAGAAATGCTATATATCAGCATATACAGCGTATCACAGTGTATACATATAAATATATATATATATGTATATTGTTTGCCTGTTGTTTAGTACGGACTGGTCCGAGCGCTGTGCAAGAAAGAGCCAAGTTGCGGGTATGAAGATAAAGAGTTGCCGTTTATACGAAACGATATGTTAATTTGTCAGAAATCGATCGGCTTCTCCCTGTGATAAGGTGATCGGTCTAATTGATTCCGTAGCACACTTTATATTCCCAGGTTTGAGGAATTATCGCGTTGATAAGGCTTCAGACGTTTCTTTTTTTGCTCTTGGAAATCACCGAAGCACCCTCTGGATCCCCAACACAGCAACTTTGTAAATAAATGTTGAATTGGTGTGTGTGTGTGTGTATATATATATATGTGTGTGTTTGTATGTGTGTGTATATATAAAGCTCTCCCAAGCCAGGGCACACTAAGTTGTTTGTCACTTGTTCCTGGCAATAATTATATTTGCATGCGGTGAATGATTCATAAAATATGTCAGCGGAATAAAATATAGGCACGTACTTCAAACTTTCTATTTAAAAATCATGAATTATAGCCACGAAAAATGTGTTCCCATTTAGGGTAATACGAAGTATTTGCTGTCTTGTACTGAGACCCATCTGTCATCTAGACAATAAAGAAAGCCGCTGTTACTTTTTCCTGACGTTTGAAAATTTATGGCCGCCCTACACTGCCCTAATAATTCAAGCATTGTGTCAATGTGTGACAGCCTTGCAGAAAAACAGCAACCCTGTTATCAATCAAACAGCCCTTTGCATATTTTTAGCTGTGCTCTGATCTTCAAGACACGTTTATGTATGAATTATATCATTATGAATCATTCTGCAGATTTACTGTAAGGCGGAACGTGATCTATCACGTCCCTCAAATCAACAAAAGAGGTTTTTTTTACGGTTTTCGGCATTTTTTTTGGGGGGGGGAACCCCGTGCCTTCGCCACTTGTGGAACTTAACTTCAATCGCGGAACAGACACCTTTGGTCAACGAACTTGATTCCCCCGATCGCTCCCTGATCGCCGGCTCGCACTCAAAATGTCAAGTCAGAACCCACAGTCTTAGGCAATAAACATTGTATTTCACCCATTCCTAAGGGGTGGGGGAGAGACCCCCACCCACCCACCCCACCACTACAGGTCTAAAAGGTTCCAGTAAACTCCACATAACAATTTCTGGATCGACACGCAACGAGCTGGTGGCTTGTTCCCCCGTTGTACTTCAGCTCAATAAGCCTTGTAAACTGGGGGAAGATGTATTGCACTTCAGTTTCAAGACACTTTGCCGAGATTCTCTCTCACTCACTTACTCCCTCTTGTCTCTCTCTCTCTCTCTCTCTCGCTGTTTGCGGATCAGTTTCTGAGAATTGTTTAGATTGGCCTAAAACCACTTTTTTTTCTTTCCCTGTGGCAGTCAGATCCAAATCCACCTCACTCCTTCCTATTAAGACGAGCTTTCTTTTCGAAGGCCTTTATTCTTAAAAAGTGGGCAAACGTCACATTTTTAGCGATAGTGCGTTTTATTTTATTTTTTTATGAAAAGGGAAACAGCCAGCAAATTCCTATGTGTCTTTCTTGTAAGTCAGTCCGCATTGCCTTGTTAAATCACGAGCGCCCGCAATGGGATATAAGCGGTTTGAAAATTCACCGTAAATATGATTTCAAGTTACCTTATATCTTAACCCAATTATCCAACCAACAACTGCCCTGAATGGTTTGCTGTAAACAATCTTTAGGGTGAGCTGGTAATTGCAAATTGTGTGTGTGTGTGTGTGTGTGTGTGTGGTGTGTGTATCTTATTTCATGAAATGTTTTAAGATTTTAACAGGTAATTGTTGGGTTGTGTACCCTGGTCAAAAGTTTTGATTCAGGTGTGGCCCGGCGGGGAAATAGTGAATCCTACGTTGACACTGATTTGTTCAGTGATCTGTGTGCTTCTATTAGCATACAATATACTGTGTGGGCACACATCTTCCCAGCACTGCGATTGGAGAAGATGTTAAATAGTTTTAAAACGCGAGCTGCCGCTTATTGCATTTTTTAAAAAAGTAATTGTCTTCTTTTGTTACCCCAAAAAACTCTGAAGTATATATATATATATATTGTATATAATTGTGCTTCCATTATTTCCGGAAACTTTCCCTCCCTTAAAACTTTTCTTCCGAAGGATGGATGGATGCAGTTATAACAATGTACAAGCCATTGTCAGCGCGAATTCAGGTGTCAGAGCCAAGGAAGGAACTGTACAATACTTTTTTCCCCCACTTACAATTGTCGGTGCACTCTCAAAATTCACCGGACGAAAAACGAATCAACATTTTGCACCAAACAGAAGCGGGACAATTGCATTATTCCTTCTCGTTTATTTTCATGGTTTTGCAAAGCGCACAGGTTTCTCTCTCTCTCGTTTCTTTACATCTGACGACGGGCGCATATGAGAGGGACAAATTGAGCAAGTCTCGTAATCTACAGAGTTTATGATCCTGCTATATATATGTATATATATCTCTTGTGAATTTCACAAGAGATAAGACAATTCACGGCTGAGCGAAAACCATTTTATCTGTAAATGTAACCTGGCACTAAGTGATCTAAACTGGAACCTGTGTGAATTTTACCTGGTTTATATCTTTTTTTTAAAAAAAGTATTAATTGTACGCCAAGGAATTTGGGGCATAGTTTCCTTTATAATAACGCTCCGGTTAGAACGTAATCCTGAATAATACTTAACTTAACCAGTCCGAGACTTAAATAAGACGGGTACTGACTACAGTATCAGATCTGCCACATATGAATTCAGAATAGCGTGACACGTTGAACATTAAATGATTTGTCCTTCTCCACCACCACCACCAACCCCCCCCCACCTCCCAGTCCATCTCTCCCCCCCTCAATTCGGTGCAAAACAACTACGATACGACACAGTTCGGTTTCTCTCTCTTTTATAGTTTTTTTTTAAAAAAACGAGTTTGCTCCACTCCTCATTCGGTTGAAATCCATCCCTGGGTTTACAAGCTCTGACCTGACCTGTCAAGCGGATTATCATACAGAGAGATTAATAGGGTGGGCGGGTTGCAATAATAATCGTTTTGTTTGATGTGACAAGTCTGATAGGCGTTGATTTACTTACAAACTGATAGGCTTTTAATTGAGCGCCTACATCCAAGTTTTAGATGAAAGGAAAGCGGCGGCGTTTTGTGTCTGAAAAGCTGCCCAATTGCCCGGGAGTCAGAATACTTATTAGCCGACTACGTGAACGGTCAAATACTTTTACTTCTCTCTCTCTCTTTTTTTTTGTGTGTGTGTGTGTGACTGTATAAGCTGCCACTTTGGTTCAACGATAAATCTTTTCCCATTGTGTGCAAATAAAATCGCGTTGACGGGTTCTGCCAATAGTTAGTTGAGAGGTGAGTTGAGTCGGAAGGCCGTCTAACTAGTGCGCGTATTTTTTTTCTCTCTCTCTCTCTCTCTCTCTCTCCAGATAAATTCAATTAAATGGACTCACTGTATCCCGGAGCAGTGATATAGACGCGTTTGTGTGGATGTCACCCACGCAAATCGCGGACCGTGATTTTTAACCGTGGGACGAGGCGCTGACACTGGTTTTTTTTTGTAGGCGTTGGGGGGGAAACTTCAGTGCACAGAAGATGTCTAACTGAGACAAGAAATCCGAGATACAAATTGAAAAGAGTGGGAATAAATAGGTCACCCTGACCCTAAATGTACTATTCCCCCCCCCCCCCCCCCCCCACCACCACCCACCCCGGTTTAGAAAAGGGCAATGCAAACCTGAGCCTCTCTCGGTCTGGCCATCGTTATTATTTTCTATTTGACTTCAACCGACGCTATTTGCGGTGAAACGCGTCTGTCGCGAAGTCGTGGAAGATTAACGAACGGTGTGCGTTAGTTTGGACGGTTCAAATCCTGTCCTTATTTTTTGCAGCAAAAAAAAGAAACACACGCACTTTGAACCAGGGCATTGCCCTGTGCATAATCCTGCCCTTCCTCGCAGATCTCTTGCTGCGCCTTCCGCACCGAAGTGAGCGCATTTCTTCCCACCCCACCCCCCCTTCCTCCCAACCCCTCCAACAAAAAAAACCCTCTTCCCAGTCCTCTTCCCACAGTCGACTCCACCTAAAGCAATTAATCTTTTAGTATTTCTCACCGGGAGGCAGGACAAATACAACGAGAACAGATAGTCGTCTCTATGGTATGGTAAGGAAAACAGCTGTTCCAAGCAGTTAATGCAAATGAACACAAATGAAGGTACAACGTTTCAATGTTTACTGCACTTCATCCATCAACCTGACGAGCCATTAAAAGAAAGCAGGGTTTTTTTTTTGTGCAGATCGAATTTACTCCCACCACTTTGGGACCGTTCACTTCTCTCCCTGCACCATTACACACCTGGACAAATCTGTGTTTTCCTTTTGCCACAGTATTTAAGCAAAATACTTCACAGGGATCCTATGCACACATTAGCGCGCGTTTTATTGCACTTGCATCAACCTACACATTCATAGAAAACCATGTAACGCACTTACTTCCCAGTCCATCACAGAACACCTTCATTGTTTTTACTATTTTGTTGTGATTTTTAGGAAAAAAATGGAGGTGCAACATTACCGCGCGGTGTAAGTTCTCACACGGGCTCGACAGCTTTTTGGGTGTGTAAGTTTTACTGTGTGAAGGGTTTTCAAACAGACCCGAGAAGCGCAAGTATTCTGGTTGTATTTCTATGCCAACTTAAAAATGGTTTTGCGGGTCGGTCGGTCTGATTCGATTAAAATCGAGCAATTTGTGTGTGTGTGTGTATACATATATTATATATACACAGATAGAAAGATAAATAGATAGATACACTTTAAAAATGGGCCTGATTTTTGGTGAGGATGTTTTTTTTAAAAAAATTATTATTGTTGTTGTTGTTATTATTATTTGCATTTATTGTGGGTTTAAGTTGAAAGTCAATTGGGGGGTGGGGTGGGGGGGGGTAAAGTTCGGTCCGAATTTCGGAGTCCATCTCATAAATTGCTGGCGCCCCCTCAGCACTTTCCGTGTTCTTCACTTGTCAAACGTGTTTTTATCTCCAAGTGACCTTTTGTTAATGTTGTAGATTGTGTGGGCCACCATGTCGAGGCCGGAAACAAAAGCAAAGATTGATTAGCACATACATTTGCCAGTGAAAAGAAGAAAACATCAAACAGAAGTCAAAATCTTTCAACCGTTAATAGTTTTTTTTCTCGAGCACCACTCCCCCCCCCCCCCCCCACCCATACACACACACACACACTACACACACACACAAAAAAGTTGTAACAATATACATTCGGCAAAAGAAAGTTCTCCCATTTGCGAGGGAGCGTAGTGGCTGTCGTTAGATTTATTTTATAAATGTATATATGTATGTGTGTGTATATATATATATAAGAAACTCTGCTAACGTTTGCTTGATTTGCAAAGTGCATTAAATGTGCAAAATCAGTCGGTGTGAAAAAAAACCCGCGACCGCAGTTTAAGCGTCTATTATGAACCTTTTACAGAAGTGACTTTGATCGGGCCGATCATTTGTTCCAGCTGTCAAGTTTAACATGTCAGGACTTTCAACGTGTCAATCTTAATCTTTTTCAAACACCACTACGTGTGACCAACTGATTGATTGATCGGTGATAAGATCTCAATAATACGTCGTTTTGTTTGCGTTGGGTGCGCGGTGCGGGTGGGGGTTGGGGGGTGGGGGGAAAAAAACACCCATCCGAGATTTCTCCGCTCGTCTCCTTCTGCCGAATCAAAAAAAAAAAGCCCCTTTATATTTTCTTTCAAACCGGAGAAAATATATTCAACAGGAAAGTAAGCCATTAATGGCAAGAAGTGAAGGTGGTATAATTCGTTCAAGCGGACTGAAGTGCGGTCTAGTGCGTCCGCCTTTTGTTCGCATACAAATTGAGTTTACTCTGAGAACGATTTATTTCCCTATATTGAATGCCTCTTTTCAAAAGCCGTTCTTTTTCAAGTCACACCAGGCTTGTAATCAGCAACAAAAGCTGACATAAATCAACGCAGATTGACAGGGCTGACAAATAACTGATTGATTGCGGTCGGGGAAATTGACAGTCTGGGGAGGGGAAGGAGGGGAGGGGAGGGCAGTGGAAAGGGATGGGGTGGTGGTGGGGGGGGGGGATGGATGTTGAGTTGAAAGCATGTGACACCCAGATCCATCGCAAGGATTGGCCCCTCATGTCATCACATGTTGGGAGTCTCAAATTTCGCCTCCACACACACAATAACTAACATACACATGAGAGACACACAGAGAGAGAGAGAGAGAGAGAGAGGAAAGTTAACGTCACATCCCCTTGACCCTCCAATCACCTCGGGCTTCGGTGCTCATTGTGTGATTTGATTGGAAGGCGGCAAAGGCTTTAATCTTAAAGTAATTCGGTGTTTGAAGTGTTGACGGCCAGATTGCGTGTTGTATGTTGTGTGTAGCTAAGCGGTGTGGAGCTGACTGCCTCCATCTGATGAGCGCCGTGCGGGCTGTGGCCAGTGTCTCCGTCAGTGTGAGTGAAAACAACCGCAGCGTCTGCCCAACGCCACAGTCCCTCTCGGAGCGCTGGCTGAGTTAGGTCATGATTACATCGTCTCCCGTCTCTACTCACAGAATTACAGCGACTGAAATCGGCAACAGCATCAGCAGCAGGGGCAACGGCAGCAGCAAACCTTTCTACCACTCCGTTCCCCCCTCAGACCCTTTAAGACAAGCTAATCGTCTTCCTATTAAGGTCCTGAAAATGCTTACTGCTCGCACAGGACACATCCTGCACCCCGAGTACCTACAGCCTTTACCATCGACGCCCGTAAGTCCCATCGAGGTACGTGCGTTCCCCATTTCTGATTAATTTTTTTATGGAACAAAAAAAAATGTAAAGCGAGTGGAGAAAGGGGGGAAAAAGTTTGGCTATTCTATACAGTATTCGAATGGGGCGGGGAAACGTGACATTTAGCATAATTCAATTTTTTTTCAAATGTATAATGTGTGTGTGTATATATGTGAGAAAATCGAAATACACGATCGCTAGAACGGCGTCTTCTGTTTGAACTTTTTTTTAAAAAAAAATAAGATTGTGAAAAAAGTGAACGGGATGATTTACTGTAATGAGTTTTTCCCAACCCTCCCCCACCCCCACCCCCCAAACAAAAAAAAACTCGTTTCAGTGTACGTGGCTGTTACATTGTTTGCTCGTCGTATATTCTCGGGGAGGTTTAATAGAATAAGCTGCAGATCGTTTGGGAATTTAGAGTATGAGTTTATTTCTCTCTCTATATATATATATGTGTGTGTGTGTGTGTGTGAAAAGACGGACTTTTTTTGATTAAAAATGCATGTCTTCTGTTGTGTCTGTTGATAGCTCGATGCGAAGAAAAGCCCTTTGGCACTTTTGGCTCAAACGTGTTCTCAGATTGGCAAACCGGACCCCCCTCCCTCCACCAAACTCTCCAGCGTCACCTCAAACGGTACCAGCGACAAGGACTCCGGCAAGTCTGCCCCGCTCAAGCTGAGCGACATCGGGGGAGAAGACAAGTCGAGCTTTAAACCCTACTCCAAACCCGAGAAGAAGGAATCCGGTGGCTCGGGATCTTCCAACGTTTCCGGGGAAAAGTCTGGTTTCCGTGTGCCGAGCGCCACCTGCCAACCGTTCACACCCAGGACAGGCAGTCCAAACTCTAGCACGTCCTCGCCCATGCCATCCGAGGGCAAGGGGGGCGAGAGCCAGGACAAGAAAGACCTGGACGGGGTCAAAAACGGTTCCTCCGACAGTTCTATCCTCAACACCAGCAGCAGCGGCGGCGGCGGCGGCGGCGGGATCAGCCACAGCCGGATTAGCGTTAGCTGTGCCGGGATACACGTGGAAGTCAATCCGCAGGACACCATTTCAGTGTCCAAACCTATCACCTCGGAGACCTCGGTTATGGGCTCTGGACTTGTGGCCCCCGTTTCCCCTTACAAACAGACCGTCTTCCCTTTGCCTCCCGCCAGCATGGCCTACCCGGGAGCTCTGGGGGGCTACCCGGGCTACCCGCACCAGTTTGTGCCGCACGGCGTTGCCCTGGATCACGCCAAGTCCAGCCTGGTGGGAGCGGCCCAGCTGGCCAGCTCCTTGGGCTGCAGCCTCTCCGGCAAACCCAACGGCTCCAGCCCCCTGGCCGGAGCCTCTCCGCCTTCCATGGTGACGGCCAGCCTTTGCAGAGACCCCTACTGCCTCAGTTACCACTGCGCCGCACACCTCGCCAGCACGGCCAGTAACTCTTGCACCCACGACCCTACTTTGAAGTCTGGATACCCGCTGGTTTACCCCTCGCACCCTCTACACGCCGTCCACGCGTCCATGTCCAACAACGGCGGCACCCCGTCCCTGGCTGGACACCCTTTGTACCCTTATGGCTTCATGCTGCCGAACGACCCCCAGCCTCACATCTGCAATTGGGTCTCGGCCAACGGACCGTGCGACAAGCGCTTTTCCAGCTCGGAGGACCTGCTCAACCACTTGCGGACGCACACGGCTTTCTCCGGGACTGAGAAGCTGATGGCCGGCTACCCCAGCTCCTCCCTGGGCAGCGCGGCGGCGGCGGCAGCAGCAGCGGCCGTGGCCTGTCACATGCACCTTCCGCCGACAGGGGGGCCGGGGAGCCCAGGCGGTCTGACACTCAGGAGCCCCCACGCTTTAGGACTGAGCAGCAGGTACCACCCGTACGCCAAGAGCCCTCTGCCGCCCCACGGAGCTCCAGGGCCGGTCACTACTCTACCAGTCCCCGCTACAGGGCACTATTATTCTCCATACGCACTGTACGGCCAGAGGTTAACCACAGCTTCTGCACTGGGCTACCAATAAACAAGACACTCCCAAAAAAAAAAATGCTGCACTGTGCATTGCCGATGGAAGCTTATGTCGTCGATCCAGTTTCGAAACTGTCTGGGGAAAAAAAAATATCAAGTGTGGGCAAACCCAATTTCCCTTTTTTTTTGTAAAAAAAAACACAGAAAAAAAAACAAGTCTACTTTTTGTTTTGCAAAATATGGTTTTAAAAAAAAGTAATCCTCAAGATGAACACACACATAACCCACCCAGCACCACCCCCGTTGAATTGCTTTGGTAATGCAGCTCTGTAAATAGGGTTCTTTTTTTTTGTGTGAAAGTGTTGAGGTGCAATCCAGGTACTCCGCACACAAAGCAAGATTGCATCTTAAAAATGGATTTATCTGGTGTTCACCAAAGGACTGGCTCCGTGAACGCTGTATTTATTTATGTTAGCTTCAAGCGGGGGAAACATAACAAAGTGCATTACTTAAAACAAAAAAAAACCTGATAGGTAAACGTGGAACACAGTGTAGAAAAAAATAGTTTTTTTTTCTCTCCGAAGTTTCTTTTAAATTGCTATGATTGTATTGTACGTTTTATTTAATGTCTCTTGGGGGGGAGGGGGTGGGGAGAAGAATTTACATGCATGTTTGTTACTAAATTTCAACTTGTCATTATAATTTCAAATTGCAATTATTTTTAAGGTGTATTACCATGGAAAGAGAATTGGTATTTTTTGTATGTATTCTGGAAATAAGAAGCAGTGCTATTCAAAAATATGATCGTCTTATTTTGTTATTAAATGAATACTTGATTACAATTTGTAATTTCGGTTCGCATTATATCGGTTTACTATTGTGCAAGGGTTTTTATTTTCTTTCTGCGAATCGTCGATTTTATTAGGAAGTCGTTTCATTTTAAGATCCAGTGATATTTGGCTTTGAAACCTTAATTCAGAAGTTTTTATAGACACATTCTAAAATATTTTACAGCTCATTTCGCCCTTTGTTTTCGTAAAAAAAAATCAAGCCACGGAAGACTTATTTTTAGGATTTCAAAAATAAATCAATTCACATTAATTTGAAAAGGAAGGGAGGTGTGAATTCAGGGAAAACGGCGGGCGTGGGGAGCTCACAGTCCGACAGAAATTAAAACTGGAGATACTACATGCTTTCCTGACTACCACACCGATTACGGTTTAAAACGCTGAAATAAAAAGAATAGGTTGATCGTTTCCTATTTAATACAAGTCCATGCGCAATGTTCTCTGTGTTTCGCTTAACAATTACGCACGTCACGTTTTAGATGGAAAATACATCAGTTCACCCATAACATTGCACTGAAGTGATCAAACGAATAGGAATCTGGAAACTACCTTTTTTTAAAAAACCCAAACATAAAACATCAACTTTTTTTTCTCTCTCTCCCTTCTCTCTACATTGAAAACCTTTGCAGTTCGTTTCCGACTAAAAAAAAAGCTTGCTTGCGACAGTGGGGGAAGAACATGTAAAACAGAGCCCCGTTGAAGATAAATGAATGTTTGCAAACTTAAGGAGGGTTTGGCCCTGGTTAATGGTAAACTAGCCAACTGCCTGGTATGTCCCCACTGCACGCTAATCGATTCTAAACGGGTATCTAACAGACATTTAACAGATCTCGGGTGCATCGTATTGGAATTTGGTTAGTTTGACCGTGGGAAGATTCGGGGGGAAAAAACTAAAAACTGCTCGCCAACTACATTCAGTTAAGACACGATGTTTCTGGTTCACAATTGCTACGCGTTAAACAAATACATTTTATAAGGATTTTAGGATAAATTAGTATCAATCTAAAACATTGTAAACGTCGGGCAATTAGGAGCATTGCGCTTTTGACACAAGAGCCGGTAAAGTACACATGGAAAGGAGTTAATTCCACCTAAACCATCCTTAAATCCAAGGGACGTTCACATAAACTTAATGGGTGTAAATTTCACAAGCACTGTATGGCGCCTGAAAAATTCACCTTGTTACCGGATTAACAGGAAGAATCAAACTCCGTGCGATAATAAATAGCCCCAGTGATCCCTTTTAACACTATGCTAACGGTGTTGGCGTATTCTTGCTTTTACAGAGATGTTACACGGCCAGTTTATTAGACGTTATAAAGGAGTTACGTTAATTGGTGTATTGGGAATGTGTCCAAACCTTTAGGGAAGTGAATCAGAAGGATGTTATGATGGCGGGTGTATAGTACCCAGCCTTTTAAACGAAACGAAACTTCCCTTTTGGTAACTTTTGCCAATCATTCAAGTGACAGGATGTTCCTATGGCGAAGACAGCGGGTGATGTGGTTGAGGTGCCGCTCTATCACTTTATTATGCCGATGATTTGCAATTTTACTGATGAAAGTTTATCATATCTCGAGGACTTATTCGGCAACTCACCCACAGTCTGGTACCTTACTTCCTGCTTTTGTTTCCAAATCAAACACCCCCCTCCCCAACACTCCCCTATGATAAATGAGCTGTTTAGTATAATTACTGCTCAAAGTTGCTTTCCTGTGGCGTAAATATGTTAATTGCAACGGAACCTGTTTCTTTCTAACCTAATTGAAACGCAGAAACTATTTCCAGAAAGTGTTTCTGCCTTTCAAATCGGTGCAGTTAAATTCACCCTTTTTCTAAACATAAAAAATGCTTCTTATAATTCGGAACCCTTGAAACTTGAACGAAACCAAGAACGTGTTCGTTAACAACCTTGTATTGGTTTGTCTTAACGTTGTTTTCTTTATTCCAAATATTCCCAGGCTATTCAAAAGCTAATCGCTTCACCAGTGCCCGATTCAGAAAAATTGCTGCAAAATCGATATTGATGAGTTCCGATCGTTCACTACTCGAGCAACTTCTGGGCACATTTTGAATTAAAAATGCTGCTCAAAATTTTTTTTCCCCAAATGTACTATTCAGTAGCGAGATAAGTTAGCCACCAAATTAATTTCGAATCGAGTACCTGCAATTATAATAATCTATTGAGAGAGAGAGAGAGAGATTTTTTGAAGGTTATTGGGGGCAGTCAGTGTGTTTGCTGTTCGTCTGGTTACTTGGAGGGGGGTGGGGGGTGGAGGGGGTTTGCAAAATAGAATCGGGGAGAGAGTGTAAACGTAAATGTAAATGGAGTGAGTGCGCCAGGTTTCTCTGCGTTTCTCGTTGCTCTGAGCGTCAAGTGTCGCAGCTCTCCCCAAAGCTGACAGCAGCCGCTGGTCGGCGTCACCCGCACGGAGCCGATCAGAGACCAGATCTGCTCCGGAGAAGACAACCAGCAGAAGGGAAGGGCACATCGCATCAACAGCCGAGCCGCGCAACTTCACATCAGCCCCGCCCGGAGATTCAATTCGGCGTCTCCGAAATGTTCGCTTCCAACACATCCGCCGCAATCAGCTCAACAACACGCACCAAAGCTCTCAACGCAATCCGAGTTGGATCCGACGACGCATAAATCTTAATGCCTCTCTTTAACGCGAGTGGGGGGGAAATCGATAAAGCGCGCAAGAAAGCTTCCTCAAATTTTTCAAACCCATTGCTGCTGGATTTGTTATTAGAATCCAAGTCTTTCAATCCTCTCCCCCCACACACACACACACCACCACCCCCACAAATGGCTATCTGTCCTCCCTCCGTCAATCAAAAGCAGTCTTAAGAACAGGATCAACTGTGCAGACGTCCAGCAAAATAAAGTCCCCACTTAAATTTAGTTTCAAAACGTAAATTGTTTTTTTTTTCTTTTAATTAATTGATAAAAAGAAGGGGGGGAAAAAAAGTGACTCGATGCTCTGGAAGACGGTGCGGTCGCAAGAAACGATGAGGTTTTTGAAAATTGAATTTTAAAAATATCTGCAAACGTTCCTATTTACATGAATTAAATATCCAGTTCCCATGGGTGGGGTTGGGGATGGTGGTGGGGGTGGGGGGGGGGGGTGAGGTCTAAGTCTAAAATATTTTACACATTAACATGAATCGGCTTACAACATTGTCATTCCTTTTCTCTGCCGGGTCAGGGAATCAGTAAACTAACTCAAGACATGAATGCAATGCAGTTGGGTTTGATGTGTTTGGTAACATCATTTGACACCTCGCTATATGGGTCAGCAAGCGAATAAGACAGGAAAGTGTTTCACAGGACCCAAGCCTGCTCGTTTGGATTAATTTACATATGTTATGTTGCAATTCAAACATTTCACAGGTAGTGCATGCTACGCTGCATCTGTTTTGACAACGTGTTAATGAATTTAAAAGGCAGTTCTTTTATCGCTGGTCCTCAAAACTTATAGGTTGGCTTCAGCACCTTTTTTTTTGCAACCCGCGCCTGGAGACTGCACAAGGCGTGTGTTTCCCCAATCGGACTTTTGCTCTGCGAGGAATGACGATTTAAGCGTTTAATTGTAAAAAAAAGTTAATCGCCGGGAAGCGAAATCAACGGCTTCAAAAAGGATACACATTCCACCCACTGATGCCAATCACCTCGAAACCGACAGTATGGCAATTGCAGCAATAAACAGAGCGAAGACGGGAAACTGAAGAACACATTGCAAACACTCAAGTGACAGGATGTTCCACGACTGCATCCCAAATCAGTATTATTATAGACATCCTTACGTGCCTATAATTGATTTCAAAACACTCTTTCAATATCACCCATATTTCGGATTTACTTGCTGACCAAAAGAGCAAACGACAGCAACAGCCGAACACTGATACAAGAATTGCAATGAATTAATAATTGGGTTCAGTAAATTTAAAGTTTTTTTTGAAAAAAAATAAAGAAATTAAAACGATAGGACTCCCCCACCCCCACCCCAACCATAAATTCGCCGAAAAAAAAGGTTCTCTCCCCAGGATTTGAAATGCTTCAGAAAAGAAACTCATCCCTTACCAAGCCAAAACCAGCTCGGTTTTGCATCCACCTCTATCATGAATTTTAAAACACTAATGTGCATTAAGATAAAGATTGCATATGCATCAGACGATTATTTTCTTTCTCTTAATGGAACAGTGCCAAGCAGGGGGGGGGGATCCAGAT